ACTGGTGACTTCCCACAGAAGGATACCCAGGTAGCTAGAAGATTATGCTGGTCTGAGGACAGAGCATTGGGTCATCACTTTCAGAGGGGCTCAGCATCCACGGCTCCACCTGCAAAGGAAGGCAGGAAGAGGCGTGCCCGGGCTCTCTGAAAACATGGCCCATGTATAACTTGCCTGCTTCACACTCTTTTCTCTCTCTATTTTCTCTGTTGTCTTCTGCTCCCCAGGGCCATGGGTTTTTACAAAGCCAGCCCTGGAGGGATCTGCTGCCCCCCTCCCTTTGTGGTCTAGGCAGTTGGACACCTTTTGGGAACTCCACTTTGGCATCAGGGCACAGACTCTTGGATGATCTGGTGCTCCCTGCATCAGAGACTCCACTTGTTTACCTCATTTCCCTCTTCTAAATCATTAAAATTCTGCTGCAAACCAACCTTAGCCTCAGTGTGGTCCTTCCATCTCAGGATGTTCTCACAAGCTACCCAGGGGGCAGTGTGGTCCTTCCGTCTCAGGATGTTCTCACAAGCTACCCAGGGACAAAAGCATTGTTCTGGTCAAATCAACATTACATAAGGGCACAAGGGCACACTTCACTATTCTGAGAGGAAGGCGGGGTTGGGTCACTGGGAAGCTTTGTGCAGTGTCCCTTGGACCTGAAGAAGATGTTGCCAGCTGCCCAAATGACAGTGGCCACCAGAGACTGCCTTGCTGTATCTCTGCCCAGAAATGCCTCCTCAGGCTTGGTGTATGTCCTACAGATGGGAAGCCTGTCTTCTGCTGACCTCTAGTGGGCAGCTGGGGGCCTGCAGGAGGCCGTGGAGTAGGTCAGCAGCTACACAAGCTGTTGGGAAGACAGTTATTCCTCCTGCTCTAAGTGGAGCTGTGTTGGAGGAGTAGTCTCAGACAGAAGATTGCCCTGAAGGACAGCAGAAAAAGGTGAATAACCTCAGGAACAGCCACCAAGTAGGAGCATGGCCACCTTCCATGGGCACAGATAATAGGGACAAGGTCCCCATGCAACACCATGATCACCTGGCGCAGCACCTGGCTTAACCCAGCTGCTGCACAGACAGGCAGGGCTGAGGTGATTCACAAGTCAGTTTTGGCCAGGGCACAGTAAACCACACACTCAAGTCCCAATTCCATGTGAACCCAACACCCCCATGGGTCAGGGCAGATCCAGGACCACAACCAACTCCCAAACTTCCACAGCTGCTCTGTGGTACCTGATGTTCCCCAAGTATAGAGTAGCTTTCCTTGGCAACAGGCCCTCTAAGGCCTCATCAATGCCAGGACTCAGTTCCGATCCTGAAAGACTCTGTGTGAGAGTAGGTCCCCCTACCTCACCTTGGGATGTGGTGGTTACAGTGGGACATGTTTCTGCACTCAGCAGCATCTGTAAGCTGTCTCTCTGGGGCAGCTCTAGGTTCAAAAGTGGTCTCACTAGCTTTGACTGGTATTCCTGGGCACTGGTTGAAAGAACAGCCCCAGCACGTCAGCGTAGTTGAGGTGGAGGAGTCTCAGAAGGAAGACTGTAGCTATCTAAGTCTGGGGCTGTGGAAATCAACTTACCACAGGCAGGAGGTTGAAACCAAGCCAGAAGGTTTTTTCCTCTGTTGGAGGTCCCTCATCTACACGCTGGCCTATCCCGTGGACAGCAAGTAATCTCTCACTGCCCAAGGGCAAAGAGGTAAGAACCCTCTCTGGGGCACAAGGTTGCCAGCAGTTCCCATTCTACCGTGTCCTTCCTATCTACCTTTTTTCAAAACTGTGCCTTTCCTTGGCACACCTGTGCCTCACTCCACAACACATTCAAGGCCAAGGGCTGCAGTTGTTCCTAGAGGTGAACCTGGGGATGTTCATATCCAATGTCTCCTGTCTGTCCACACCACCAGGAAATCAACCTGTGGTCAGGGGCTGCAGGCTGAGTCCAAACATTACCCAAAAATGTTCCATTTGGTTAATTTAGAAGAGGTAACATGGCCAACATCAGATTTTTTTTCTCTGAATTTAGATTTGGCAGATTGGGCTTAGCTCAACCGTTACATTAGTGATTCAGTAGCCAAAAATCAAACCCACAAGTCCCCAGGTCCTAAGGCACTAGACAGCCACCCAGTAATCCTTGTGAGCTGTGGTCTACAGTCTTTAGAAACCCAAAATATATTCTCACTCCAAACCCATGCAGGAATTCCCAATTTTGCAACATTACTCCACAGCTTATTGTCAGTGCTGAGCTGATGGCAACAGGGTATGGGGTAGTGGGGGCATGACAGGAAGTTGAGCTTTCCAGGGTCCCGTGACCCTCTGTCTCCACACAGATTACACAACAGATTCAAGTCATTGGCTCACTTCTGTTGTTCATGTTCATGTCATGCATCTGGCTCACTTGTGTTGTTCATGTCCACTGTGTTTGCAGTAAGGTCATATGGCTTTACTATTAATGCCCACATCTAGGTATTCTTTCCTATGATACTTGAAAATTTCTTTCTAGTCCTCCCCCCTCATCTCCAGGTGATGATTAAAATGCTGGCACCCCTGAAGCATCCGTGATCCCATAGGTGCAGACAAGGAACTCCTGAAGACACTGTTGTGTTTGAAATAGGGCTCAGGCACACCAGGGCCCATCGGACCAGGTGAGATTCCCCTCACACCACTTCCATTGCTCTGCTACTGGGTACCCTCTTGCCCTCGAGTCAAAGGGACAGTGACCTGTGGATGAGTCCACGTGGGAGCAGGACACCCGAAGCATCTGTGGCTGTGGTTATGTCACTGCTGCCGCAGGTATATCTCTGAAGGCATTGTGGCCCAAGGATAAGTCCATGCTGGAGAAGGTACACCTTGAAGCGTAAGTGCCTGTGCCTAAGGCCATGCTGGAACACCTCAAAGCGTCTGTAGCCATGGATAAGCTTATGCGGCAACAAGTATACCCCTGAAGAGACTGTGGCTCACAGATAAGGTCACACTGCAGCAGGTACACCCCTACAGGACTGTGGTCCATGCCTACGTCCATGCCAAAGCAGGGGCAAGGGGAGGAGCTACGGGACTGTGGTCCATGCCTAAGTCCATGCCAAAGCAGGGGCAAGGGGAGGAATTCATTCCAATGTTAAACTCTATCATCTGGCCCAAAGGGACCAGGGGTGGACATTGTAACAGATACGTCTTTAAATTGTTGTAACCCATGATTTGACTTATGAGACTGTTACAGGAAGTACTATAGCAGGAACCACTTGAACCAATGGAGGACAACCCTCACAAGAAGAAGGGCAAGTGCACCCGTGGCCCAATTTGAGCTGGCTTTAGTGTCCAGTAGCTCCACGCAACATACCACCTCTCGTGTCCTGAGTGACCGCTGTAACAGATGGAGCCCAAAGTCATGGACTAAATTAACTCAATGGACATTTACAGACATTTCACAGACGTTACACAGGGGTGGTCCATAGTCTAAGAGTCCACAGACTATATACAATGTCTGTGTATATATCAAAAGATGGGAAGAGAGGGTGGCTGTTAATGAGGATGTGTTGGATAGTGTGGGACCTGAGCATGATGTAAATGGTATGGAATAAGGGGTGGAGAATGCACTGGGTTTGGCTAGGGTAGAGTTAGGTTTCTTCATAGTAGCTGGTATGGGGCTATGGTTTTAGATTTGTGCTGAAAGCAGTGTAGATAATACAGGGATATTTTAGTTACTGCTGAGCAGTGCTTACACAGCATCGAGGCCTTTTCTCTTTTCTCAGGCTCCCCCGCCAGCAAGTAGGCTGGGGGTGCACAAGAAGCTGGGAGGGAACACAGCTGGGACAGCTGACCCCAACTGATGAAAGGGATATTCCATACTACATGACATCATGCTCTGCAATAAAAGCTAGGGGAAGAAGGAGTAAGTGGGGGGATGTTCGGAGTTACGGCGTTTCTTTTCCCAAGTAACCATTACACGTGATGGAGCCCTGCTTTCCTGGAGATGGCTGAACACCTGCGTGCCAATGGAAAGTAGTGAATCAATTCCTTATTTTGTTTTGCTTGTGCATGCAGCTTTTGCATTATCTATTAAACTGTCTTTATCTCAACCCATGAGTTTTCTCCCTCTTACCCTTCTGATTCTCTCCTGCATCCCACCGAAGGGGGAGTGAGCGAGAGGCTGTGTGGTTAAACAATGACAGACTGCCAAAAGAAGGCTGCATTAGAGCCTCAGCCAGAGTTACTTACAGCAAGATGTCCTGTTCAGTGAGAGCCTGGATCATGCCTCACTCCTGATCCTGTCCTACAAACCTATCAGGAAGAAAAACTGCTGCACTTTTCACCCAAATGCCCTCCTGTGGTCAGCTCCCACAGAGTGGGGGCAAATTTATGCAGATGGTCACAGGGGAGAGCAAACACACAGAAAATCTCCTTCCCACCCCAGGTGATTTCCCCTCCTTGGTTTCAGGGCTCCAGTTTCCACTGAAGCAGCATGCCTTAGATTCTTCAGAAATGCCCCATCTGGGCAGATTCTGTGATCTGTTTACAGAGACTCACAAGACTCAGCTGCTGCCTGATAGGACAACAACTGGGGGGAACTTGTCCTCTCCTCTGCTTGTTCCAGATCATAGTGTGAAAGTGAGAGCTCTGGTAGGTATGGGTGGTCTGGCAGGTGTCTCTCTCCCACTGTGACTAGGCCCTTTTTCTGGGTTACAGTGGTCTGGTCCATGGTGTCTGGAAAGAAGCGAGAGACAGCAACAGTGCAAGGAAAGACTCCAGGAAGCAAACCTAGAGGTGTGATGCAAGTTTTTGTGGAAGAAGGTTTCCTGTTCTTTGCTCTTCAGCAAGAACACAAGGGCTGGGAACAGCAAGGTGGTGAGAGCAAGAGCTCTCAATTCTTGGCTCAGTGTGGTCCCACAGTGAATAATGACCACCACTTCGTGTCAGGATGCCCCTAGAGGACAA